AGATAGAGCAGCTGCTATCAAATATTTAGCACCGATTAACCATCCAACACACCAACCGGTTGTTCCAAAAGTCTTACCACTATCACCAACAGTGATGGTACGCTCCCACATTTCAGGAAGAGTAGCAAAGCGTTCGAAAACATCTGGAGCATAACAAAAACGGTCATACTATACAAACAAGGACAAATAAATTCAACTTGAAGGTTATAAAAAAAATTCATAATAATAAAGTAATATATTATATAAAAATGTACCACTTCATCACTAATGACAAGTAAATTAAATTCCTGTGCTATTTTTCCAATCTCCATCATTTCTTCTCTAGAAAAAACTTTTCCTGTTGGATTATGTGGATTGTTAAAAACAATAAGTTTAGTCTTTTGAGTAATTTTAGAGCGAAGTTCATCGATGTCTATTTTCCATTCACGCGAAGAAATATTCTGTGTTGGATCACCGGTCGGGCGTAATGGGACATATATAGGTACACCACCATTCATCGTAATGTTGGCCTAAATGGTTTATTAACAAATAATTATTGTTATTAAAATTTAGAAAAGTCGAAATTTAGAGATTTAGAGATTTAGAGATTTAGAGATACACACAACGTATTGATCATAAAAAGGTTCGATCAAAATAGCGTGATCTCCATGGTTTAAGAACGCTGCGAAAAGGTCAGAAAGACCTAAAAATAATAAGCAATATTAACATACTATAATTTGTATATAAATTAATAGTATATAAATTAATGAATCGACCTTCACTAGCACCAGCAGATACAATTATTTCTGTTTCAGGGTCCAAAGTTCTATTAAATAAAGGACCAAAAGTATTCGCCAAAGCCTGACGAGCATGCAATCGACCTTTAGGATGACTATTTATGACATAAAACAACTGAGTTATTCAGCAACGTATCATTCAAGGTATTGATTTCAAAAAAAAAATAATAATTAATTAAAAATTTACGCGTATTGATTACATTCAGGCTCAGAAATTGCTCTTGCTACAATTTCTTTTATATGATTTGATGGTGGGTC